GGGGGGGGGGAGGGGGTACCCCATCGGCTGCAGCCCGGCGGGAGGAGGAGCAGCAGCAGGAGGAGGAGGGAGAGTTACACGCGTGAGTTCAGCCGCCCGGGACGGGCTGCAACACCCGCCAACAATGTCGTTGATAAGGATGATGATAAGGGAAGGGCACTGCTGCCCTCTCCATGCCGCGCCCGCAGCGGGCCCAACCTCATCGCTGTTTTTTAATTCTGTTAGTTTACACTGTCGACTATGTCGGCCACACATACCACCCGCAGCAGAGATGGATACATTCTCTGGTCTTGGTGGTCCATGCGCCCCTAGCGCCTCCTCCTCCTTCCATCCCATGCCCCATCCCCCGCCACGCCACACCACGCCCGGCTGCCGCAAACCCGCACCGCGTCGTCTGCGACAAAGTTTGGCCGTATACTTTGCTGCGCTTCGGCGCGATCCCCTTCATCTCCATGATCCTGCTCCTCCTCTCCTCCCGCGCAGCCTCCCACCGCCGCACCGCACGACTCCGGCGGCGCAAGCGCCACGCCACCTTATAAGTGCAGCACAGCAGCACAGCAACCGCCGCCCCGGGGTTGTAAACAAGATCTTGAGGCTTGATGAAGGGGGGGGGGGCAGTCCGGACCCATCCCCCCACCCTCACCTCGCACAAACCCCTGACGCTGCGGCCCGCGCCGCGCTGCCGAGCCGAGACGCGTCCGGCGCGGGCCGCCTGTGGATCCCCGGGTAGGCAGACCGGCGCGCACGCGTGTCTCTCGGTTGCCTAACTCTCGGGCGCTCCATGAGCCCAGCTCCGCGCCGAGCTCCGCGGGGAGGCGTTGAACGCTTGAAAAAGTTACTTATGGATGTATTCTTTATATTTAGTGAAAGTATTTAAGGTATCATAAAAAAAGAGACAGTAACCGAATGAACGTCTAAGTGCTACCATGGTTGAACAAACTTTAAGTGCACAACTAGCAGATAATTTGTCAGAGCGGTTGTTTTAATGAGTATGCGTAAAATATGTGGGGAAAAAAAACAAAAACTTTGTTTGTCAATAACAGTTTTTTTATGAAGCTATTTCGTCCAGATTCTTTTTATTTCTTACATAAAATCCGTCGTGAGTGGGGCCAACGGGGTGGCGGCACTAGATCACCCGCGCCGTAACGCTTGAACCCCTCACAGCGCTTTCACGGAAATGCCATAAACTTCGTCGCGATTCGGACAGCGTGGCGTGGCTTTGCGTGGCGCGGTGGCGTGGCGTGGCGTGGCTTGGCTTAGCGTGGCGTAGAGCGGCGCGGCTTTGCGTGGCCCCATCGAAGTGGGTGGGGGACCAGGGGGGGTCTGCCTTACAAAGGGACGCGTGATGCGGTGAACGCTTTCGCCAGCGGGCCGCGCGGGGGCTTTTAGAGAGATGAACAAATGTATATATATCGCCGTGGAGAGGTGTTAACGTCCAGCCGCGAGCAGTCGCAGGAGACAAAAACACTTACCGAAATTGTTATGCCAACCACAAAACCGATTTTCAGAGTGTGCTATATTTTTTTGCTTCTTGTGTGTCTTTTCAGAAATCACAGCTGTTGTTAAACACAGAAAGAAAACGCAACTCATGGTACGGTCGTTGTAAGAGGCCCACAGGGTGGCTCCAGTAGCTAATGGGCGAGGCAAGGGCAGAGAGAAAGGACGCGAGGGAAAAGGGGTAACACGACGGCACAGCTGGGGAGCGGGGGGCAGTTACATAACGGCGCAGGGCACACCGAAGCGGCTTTTCATTGCATAAGTTACATGGCGGGCCGCGGATTATTTCATTCTTGAAATAGGGTGGCGAGTATGGGCTTCTGGCGTGTCGTGCCCGAGGAGTGGGGAGCGGGTGGCGTGGCGTGGCGTGGCGTGGCGTGGCGTGGCATTGAGTGGAGTGGCGTGGAGTCACCCGCTTAGGCGCGCGGGACGATCTCTAAGCGTCATGATGGTAGCAACAAAGCCTGGCCCCGGGGTTTCCTCGTACTATTTTATAATACGGTGGCCCGTTTTGTCCCGTTGGAGTAAATAGGTACACTACTCTAGTCCGGATCCAGGAGTGCGCGGGCTGCCTATATATTCGCGAGGGGAAAAACGGCCACCATAAGCAGTTATACAGGGTGGTCCACAAGACCCCTTCCTTTATTTTGCTTCTAGATTGTACCGCATGAAGACGTGCGGACAGCGCTTGCCTACCCTCGTTCACCGCGGTGCCTTAGGGCCCCATGCAAACATACAAACCCGGCCACACGCCTGCATCCGGTACAGTGTATAAACAAAATGAAGGATGGGTCTGTGGACCACCCTGTATGGAGCTGTAAAAAAAACGTTGTGAGACCATTTCGTCCACATTACACCCTCACCACGACGTTTGATTGTTCAACGTTAGCATTTTTAAAGACGCAGGCGCAGGATATACAAACGTCTCTCTCTCTTTCTTTTTCTGGCCACACCACGGCGGGCCTAATGGATCCGCGTCTGAATGGAATGGAGGCAGCCACAGCTGGGAGTGTCGTTGAATGGTGCTTGGAGGGAGAGGGAGAGAGAGAGAGAGAGAGAGAGAGAGAGAGAGAGAGAGAGAGAGAGAGAGA